TTTTACTTATTTTTATATGGTGCTGGGGACCGAACCCAGGGCCTCACACATGCTAGTCAAGCGCTCTACCACCGAGCCACAACTCCAGCCCAAGGGTGTGTTTCTTAGCAGTTCAGAAGGAAAAGTGATAGAAATAACTCCAAACATCACACATGAGTGCAGATGTGACATATAGCGATCTGTGCATTCACACATAATTTTTGTACTCTTGCCATTTTTTTTCTGTTTCTTTGAATTCTTTTGGTAGTTTGGTAGTAGATCAATATTCACCAGCTGTATAGGTATGAAGTACATAAAATTCAAATTATATAAACAAAACTGTGTCTAACTCTTTGGGGAAATAACCCAGTTGTAACTGCTCTCACTAAAGCTGTCAATGCACTTTTTTTTGTTTTAAATATAGTGCAGATCAGCTAAAGAAATGAGAGTTGCTTGATGTGATTTGATAGACAAGTACCTCGTAACACAAATAAATCCCCTACGTAATACAACACCCTGGTCAGCTTCCCATAAGCACTTCAAGGAATGAATTATAAAACAAAGAATGCCAGTCAACTAAAGTGCTGCCAAGGACCACAATGCAAAAGAAGCACACATTTCAGCAGAGTTTTTGTTTTATTTACTTATATCACTTAGGTGCATTCAAGTGCCTTTATGAGACATGAGCCATTTAATAATTATATATAATGGCTGGGGATATAGTTCAATGCTTCCTATTTTTTCCCATGCTTGATTGTCCAAGATATTTCCTTACATAGCCAAATCTTTTGATGGAAGTTTGTCTGTTATATATCAGACACTGGTCTGATCATAAAAATGCATATTTTTGATTGCAAAAATTCTCTAGGTCTAATCAATACATACTGATTTGTTGCTTGTATTAAGAGATATACCCATATAGCTTCACCTCCTTGAAGTCTCTTGATTTTAAAAGAACACATTTTCAAAGATAATATTTCAAATGGTAGAAGTATATTATGAATTAATTATGGCTCAGTAGAGTACAGCACAATTTTTGTGGTGTGTTTAAAGATAATAAGCTGTGTTGTTCAGTGGACTCTGGAAGCACCCTTTCTTAAATTATGGGTGAGAGGAACTTTCCCTCAGGTTTGAGAGAACAATTAGGAGTCATATTTCCTTCTTACTGAAACTTTATGAGAAGAAATAAAGAAGGTAAGGACAACAATAGCCATTTGTGTATAGTACTTACATTGTTTCAGTAAGTATGAAAAGAAGCCTTATACATAGTATCTCATTTAAGTGTTTCTACAACTTGCATAGACTATTTAATGAATATATTTTCCAGATAAGGAAGTAAAGACTCTAAAACATTAGAGAACTTACACTAGGCCACACAGTTAGAAAGTGATTGAACTGTAGTTCAATCTCATATCTCTGTAATTCAGAAGTCCCTATTTCTTCCATGGCAGCATACATCATAGGTCTGGAATTTATACTTTTCCCTCCTGAGGTTAGGTAAAAAAATCTCTCTCAAAATATATCCTTAAAAATGTGGCATTCCAAATGTGAGTTATTTGTTGTCCTGGGCAGTATTGTTGGAATGACCTGCCTTGTAGCAAATGACCTTGCATAAGATACCTCCTCCTTCCTTACCTGTCTTTCTATTTTACCTGTTCAAACTATGCATCTTCTTAATCCAGCACTTTGTTGATATTGCAGTTTTTATTTGTGTGAATGAGGAGTTTCATTTATTCGTTAACTTTACAATAATTTATTTTTAAAGCACCTATCATATATATCATCTGCCATGTATTAAACCTTCTTGTAGGGGAATGAATGAATGAAGAATGATTTATCAGATCCAAAGGCAGCTCTGGCCTCCCTTGTTATATACCACTTATTCCTAAAATCAGGGTGATTGATAACAGATTAATATCCAGTGCTAGCAGTTTAGCAATGATAATTCCCTTGCATTCCTGTTTTGACATCATAATCAGAGGTATTTGTGGGGACGGGGGTAAAATATTTCCATCAGCTCTTAATTTTGTTCAATAATTCTTCCTCTTGGGAGAATATCTGGAAAATGGCTAGTCAGCTGAGGAGTGCTGCTAACATCAGCAAATATTTGAATGTCTAACATATGCAAGACTCTGTGCTTGGAACTTCTCAAAGTGCAGTCTTTCTTTAATGGAGTGTAGATACCATGAGATCATGAGAAGGAAATTCACTTACATTCATTCTCTGAAACAAAAGCCACGTAATAAAACACCAAATCAGCCTCACCTTCTGCCTTAATTAATGCCCATATTGTTCTGCCTCAGAGCAAACTTAAATCCTTGGAGCCATGTTCGACTTCCTTCTTCTGTACATGGTCAATTGCTAAGTCCCATTGATTTTTGACTCTTGTATCAGGCCAATCCTTTTTCTGCCTACTGCCAGCATTCTTCCTTATTAACTGTTTCTCAAGCCATTTTGATAATTTATTGATGGTCTCCCTGCTGCTGGTCTCTCTTTCCTAATAAGACTTAAGAGGCAGTGTGATGTAGTGGTTGAATCTGGCTTCTGTAACATGGATGCGTATGATCAAATCTCTATTTCTCCAACACACAATTTGACATTTCCTAATCTTTACAATGATGGATGATGATGTTGATGTTGATGATGATGATGATGATAATAATTTCTTCAAGTATTATATGCCGAATCAAAACAATTATGTTTTAATAAGCTTTTTTTTTATCACTGTGACCCAAAGAACTGACAAGAACAACATAGAGGAGGAAGAATTTACTTTGGCTCATGGTTTTAAAGCTCTGAGCCTAAGATACCATAGAATATCAAGGCATAAAAGTATGGCAGACGGAAGCAGCTCAAGATACAGCAACTAGGAAAAATAGAGCTTTGCTCACCAGGGATAAAATATAAACCCCAAAGACACATCCTCACTGACCTACCTCCTCCAACCATACTCCAACTTCCAGCTATTTCCACCCTGTTAATCCATATCTGATTCCATTCTAGCTCTCATAATATGATCATTTCACCAATGAATATTCTTGCATTATCTCACACATGAATTTTTTGGGGGACACATAATATCCAAACCATAACAGATTTATACATGTGTCATACATATGTAGAAGAATGCCTGTAATAAAGTACTCAGTAAATGTTAATTGCCATTATTATTTTTACTATTCTTAGTATAGTTTTGATCATGTTATTGCAGTAGGAGCTATTATTAAAAAATAAAGATCAAATTCATACTCTGACCTTGTAGGGCAAGGATTTAAATACAAAGCCCAGTAAGGATAATAATATAAATGAAGACATATGATATTAAAACATAAGCAAGACTAAGAGTTTCTGCACATCTAAGTAAGGCTTATGTTTCTTGTTGATCTGGGAACAAAGGCACCTTGGCGAACTGAATCCCTACTAAGCATGGTCAGGAGAACACTTCCATGGTGATTAGCAGCTGGTCAAGTAGATGCATGGCTTTTTCAGCCATCAAGGACACTAGCTAACTATTCCCTAAACATATAAAATGATAGAAAACATGCTTTTTTTTTCTAGTAATGACCATTTACTAGTGAAAGGAAAATAAAAGTAAAGTGGAAATAGATTTGGAAACAGTGGTAGAGTCAGATATGAAGGGAAAATACATATTGAATCCCAGATTCCTATATAAAATAATTTGAACATTAACAGATACATAGCCTTTGATGTGATTAGTTTCCAATTTCTTGGCATTTATATGAGATCTTCAGATACTTTGGTCCATATTTCTGCACCTATTTGTAAAACTCATATATGCCTAACCCATAAGCTTTTTCTTATACTATTCTCTCTCTCTACCTATTTCTCTTTAGTTCTAAGTGTGTGTATTGGCATATGCATACACACACATATATACACATGCATATGTATATATGTGTCCATTTATTTTCCCTCTATAGTGAAGCTTTCATTAAACACCCAGCTCATTTGCTGGTTTTGAAGGTACTTTACATTTTAAAGACTTTCATTTATGTTGTCTAAGTATTTTCAGATTATTTGATGTGCTTAAGCTGTGCTCATAATTTTTATTTAAGAAAATAAGCTATAACTATAAAACAAAGATAATTAGGATGGTTAATAATTTCTGTTCATTGTGTGTATGTAGATAAATGTTTATATGGTGTCTACTCTCCACCAACCTCTCTTCCAGAATTTGTTTATAATAAAAACTAGTAAAATAATTTGGAGCTATAGCAAGTTAAAAATTAAAAATAATTATTTATGTAGAAGCTATGCCATAGGTATATATGATAATTTTTTGAATCTATATATGTATAGATACAATCTTAAACAATTAACTAAAGTTAAACTCCTTTGAAGAAACCAACATAGAATTCTTAAAGAATTTACTTGAAAGTAAGTTCATGTGATTTTATCATAACCTAATTATTTAGCATCAACATCTGTCACATAGGTGAAATTCCTTAGAACATATATAAATATTTAATGTATTTTATGAATAGAAATCTTACATTTAAAATTATTAAATGGTCAATCAGAGCTGGGTGTCTGATTTCAAACTGCATAGTAATAGGTAATTTCTTAGGTAATGTTTCACTAATATTTTCTGTCATCATGTATACCTATTATCTGTGGCCCAACTATTCACTCAATTCAATTTCCTATTTATGAATTTCCCTAGTTCGCTTGAGGTATAGATTTGGACAGCTTGAATTCTATAGATAGCTTATCATTATGTGATTGTCATATAGCAACTATTCAGCTTCAATAATAATTTATTAATGCTATCAGAATGATTTATTTTATTTTTAAAAGATGAATAAGAAACTGTTATTGAAACTTTGTTACAATTTTCCTTTGGAATGTTTAAAGCAAACAGAAATAATATTTTTGAATACCCAGGGACAATTTGCTTTAATGTAGGCTTTTACAATATTGTCTATGAAATTTTCCCCACTAAAGAGATAAAATAACAGCCTTTCAATGTATGTTCTCATAGAGTATTCTTCATCTTACAGATGAGCTCAGTGAAAATGTTACGGCCTCGTCTCAATAGCATTCTTTTCAAGCTCACATTTGAAGAACACGTAAACAACATCAAACCAAGCATCATAGCCGTAACTCTTGCTTGTGAAGAAGTGAAGAAAAGTGAAAGCTTTAATAGACTTTTAGAGTTAGTTCTTTTGGTTGGAAACTACATGAACTCAGGCTCAAGAAATGCCCAGTCTTTGGGATTTAAGATCAACTTCCTTTGTAAGGTAAGATGACATTTTACCATGCTAATTTATAATAATAATCTTGTAGATGTGAAGGTTAATCTAAATGTAAATACCGAATATCTGCAAAGTTACATGCATTGAGAGTGAAATTTATGGTATGCAAATTCTATCTCAATGAAAACAAACAACTTTTTAAAAATATTATTGCTATAAAATCCAAAAGATTGAATTCTTTGGTAGTACAGTACTTAATTCTTGCTGATTAAATTTTGCTGAAGTTTGTAGACACAAAAAATGCTGTTATAATGCTTGTGTTCCAATCTATTTGTACTTATTTTATGTCTCTCCAAAAAGTATGTGAGAAACTAAATTTAATGAGGAAAATGGTCAGAAATTTCTTCTTGAATATACTTCACTGTTTCTACTTTTAAGAAAATATCACTATATTTGAAGACTGTTGTATTACTGGGTTTACACTGGTTTTTATGTGCATTACCTTCAAAGATTAAAAAAAAAAATCAAGTGATAGTCGTCTTCACTATTTTGATTGTGCCATTTCATAATATTATTTTTCAGACTGAATTTTTGTGAAAAGTAAACAAAGAAACAGAGAAGCCCAAAAGTAATTGCCTGTGTCTATTTTGAGGCTGGGGCAAAGCACCTTGTTCAAGAAAAAGATCTGTCTGTTACAGAGAGAAAACTGAACTGACTCAGGGGTGAAGGCCTAGAAGAAAGCTAGAGATGAAAATAAATCTGAAAACAAGCAATCTATCTTTGACATCTCACCATGCTTTCACTTTTTTTCCTTCTCACATCTGAAAACATTGCAGAATTTTGGTTAGTTCCTAAAGTACATTATAACAAGAATCCCTAGGAATGGATATGAATTTCTTTTGTGTTCATACATTAAGTAGATTTGTATTACATATCAATAGAATGATATTTTAATATCTGTCAATAAAGATTTTATCCTGATAATTCTAACTCAGACATAAAGATGAACATGTATAGATAATTAGATATATAATGAAATTTTATCTGTTTACTCCTCATATATTTATGAATGGTATAAGAAAAGAAAATAGAGATTATTTGCAAATGCCAATTTTTGTTTTAAAAAAGTATTTCTTCTTCTTGCGATATTTGAGGACATGCAGAATTATTTGATAATACCAGAGGAGGAATAAGGCAGTGTTCATAATAAATTAGAATAAATCATAGCTGGATTTGAGGTAAAACTATTTTTAGCACTTTCTCATTATATCTTGCTGCCATATTGCCTGATACTAATGAAGTCATATCTTACCAAGATACAACTTGGTTACAGTATATTTCAAATGCACAGTGAGTAAATCCAAAATGATCTTTGGTGATGCCTATAAAAATAACATACATTATCATTAAATATTTATACTAGATGTCTATTTCACATTTAGTTCACATAAAATATCTTGAACAATTTGAATATGAACAAATACATTCCTTTATTTTCAATTGTTTTGATTTTACCATATTCAAATTAATTACATGAACTTATTTCTTTGAAGCAAGAATGTATAAGTCCTTTATGCATAGGAACAAAAGATTACATTAATCTCAAGAAAGGTTTTATAGTTATATCTTATATTTGGGAGAAAGGCTTCTTCCTGTCATCAACCTGTCAAATAAAAGTTCTTCCACACAATGCTGATCTATCACTAGAGGTATGCTCAAAGGATTCAGCACAAAGATTTTTGCCAACTTCAAATAAAATATAAAAATAATCTTGTGGGAAATACTATCATGTAGTAATAGGTGTTCTAAAAGAGAAAGAAGTGAAGGTTTTAAAATACTTCCCCTCCCACTTTTCAGTAGAATTTTTATCTTCTGGTAAATAATTATAGGGAAATAGTTGTCATTAATAAAGCAAAATGTCATATACAAAAATGATATTCCCATAATTTATACAATTTAAATTATATTCCTAGAATATAAAGGATTCTGCATAGATATAGATATCTAAAAATGACAAAAAATTACTGAAGTACATAGAAAACGCTTAGGTCTATAATCTATACAAAATGGAATTAACTACAAATTTATTATTAGCTAGAATTGCTGCTAAATTTCATTTATGTCATGAATGGTTACTTGGTTGATTTTTCTTTTTTGATTTTTTTTTTATTTACAAAATAGCAGGGAGAATTCCCTGTTTAGTGTTTACTCACCTAATTTTTCTTATGTTAATTTCCTTTCTCAGTGATTTTTAAATGTAATCAACTGCATTTTACTAGAAGCCAAAATGTACATTAAAATATTTTCCCACTTAAAAAGGAGTCCTGATATAAACAGTTAAACTTATCAGATATGTCTTAAGAGTAAGGTAATATAAAAAATTCAGATGGTCACAATTGGCTGCTATGATATTTGGGAAGAAAAGGAAAACAAATCGGTTAACCAAATGATAACACTTAAAGGGTATCGTTACTCTAAGTACCACCCTCACCACAAAATGCTTTATTAATTTCAGCAGTGAATTATCACTTTGTGAGTTACCAAACAAGTGTGTTGAACTGTAATAAAAATCATTTCAGTGGAGATGAGTTCTACATGTTAGTTTGCCTTGTACTTGCCTGTTGGTTATTAAAATTCTAACCAATAGCAAAGCTGTACTTCAGAGACATTTGTTATTTTTGTTTTCAAGATGTAATAGCATATACAATCTGCACAAGAACAAAGCATTTAAAAATACTGAGCACTCCCTAAGTGCTAAGCTTTGTAGGTATTTTATATAAGGATCTTTGCATACAATAGAAAGTGACTCTGCTCGATTCAAGGTAAACATGGAATTTGCTGGAAGAATATGAGGTAGCTCAGCTAGAAATTGGGGTAAAGCTGAAGAAGTTGGCCTTTAAAAAGAATACCAATTGTGGCAGCCTAGAGAATTCAGGTAGCAGTAATGAAGGAAAATCTTTTAAGAATGTTGCCTTTGGGAGGTAAGAACCCCAGCCATTTTCTTTTCTTTTCCCTGATCATTTATATTGTAATTAAAGTGTAATTAACCTAGAATGTATTACAGGGCCACTGCTTTTCCAAGGGGAGAGCAAAGAACCTTGAGTAACAGTGCTACCAAGACTACCTGTAATGGCAGACAGATCTTGACCTACAGAATACTCTTGCCAAAGATAGGGATACCAAATTTGAAGGGGTATCAGGCAGGCACAAACACACAAAGAAAAAACAAAACTGATGGGTTTGTGTACCAGGAGCATGCAAACAGTTAAATAATATACATAGAAAATATCATGTGACATCACAAGGCACACTGTCAATAACTGCAAAAATTAATGACCACTCAGATTAGGAGTTCAGAGGAATGATGTTAGAAATTTGAGACAGAAAGATCTTGAAGAGTAGAAAGTATTAGGGTAAAAGAAGAAAAGCCATAGCTGTACCCAAGAGGAAAGTGCCACGGGCTTAGAAACTAAGCACATTTCAGTTACTACTTTGGCAATTATCAGCCAAACATTCATGGCTAAGGCTATTCCCCACTCTGACTCTCAGTTTCTTCATCTGCACATGAGGAAATTCACTGACCCCTGTTTATTTTCATGTGGTTGTTTTCAGGTCAAATAAAATGAATTTATGATAGAATACATTGAGAAATTATAATGTTAAACAAATGCTGGTTCTTTTTAATGATGATACACAACTAGGAGTAATCATGATATATATGAGAATGAATTAGAAAACCACACTGCCTGGAATATTGGGTTTATGTTGGAAACAAGTAATAACATGGTAGGCAAGTTGTAAAATTTTTAGTCTTTTGTATACTAGTTTGGATATCTTGGCTATTTTGGGGAAAAATCACAGCTCACTTAATAACTTTAAAAAGCCTAAAATCTTTGTTTAGTATACTGTCCAGAGACTTCTGAAACTCTTTCACTAGTATTGTGACTTTCTAGGCATTCTGCTAAGCAAAACACAAAAATTATGATACAGCACAATGGTATGCTTACATACAAATGTGAAATATATCATTGAAGAACTCCAAAGAAAACATGTATGTTCACTATGGAGAAAGTTTTAGATATGTTTAAGTCATTAGGATTAACATGATAATGTAATTGCACTGTATTTCTAATATTCACCATTTACATAGACTGTGAAAGTAAAAGCTCTATAACCTGAAGGCCATCTCATGGTATTAGTGACAGAGTATTATAGGCATCACCCAAAATATATAAAGATTCATCCATTACCTCTCTGTAGAACTTATAAGAGGGGGAAGTAAAATAAGTTTACCTCCTTTGTGATATGGAAGATTAGTTACCAGAAAAAAAATGATTTGTAAAGAAAAATAGCCAGGTGCAGTGATTCATGCCTGTAATCCCAGTGGTTCAGGAGGGTGAGGCAGGTGGATCTCAAGTTCAATGCCAGCCTTGGGAATTTAGTGAGGCCCTAAACAACTTAATGAGACTCTATCTTTAAATAAAATACAAAAAAGGGCTGAAGATGTGTCTTGGTGGTTAAGCACCCCTGGGTTCAATCCATGGTACCCTCCCTAAAAATAAACAAAAATGACTCCTGTCTATGGCAGTAAAATTTGTAAATATATAATCCAAGAGAAAAATCTATAAAAACCTAAGAAAAAAAATCTCATATACTTCAAAAATTTCACATTGTCTAATTTAGCTGAAATGATGTGGATTCTGTCCATACAAACTTAGAATTTAGCATAAGAAGATATCTAGTCTAGCCTCTCCAGTCTACAGCAAAAAGACTTATGGTCAAAAGGGGAAACTACTTTGGTTAGTGTTTTAGTCATCTTAGGCTGCCATAATAGAAATACCATAGGGCAGATGGCTTATACAATAGAAATTTGTTTTTTCAAAGTTTTGGAGATGTGAGGTCCAAGGTCAAGGTGGTTTCTGGTGAAGCTTTCCTCCTCTGGCTACACCACTTTCTTGCTGTGTCCTCACTTAGGACTTATTATAACTTAACTCTTATTTTTCGGTCTCCTTCTCAAGATTCATAACTCATCAAATTTGGGTGGA